TGAGTTTCCAGATTTATTTCATTTAATAATTCAATTTAATTCAAAAATTAGTCTCTATTCACGTGTTATGTAATTGTAGACAGATATTGATTTTAACATTGGTTTCTATTATTATAAAGTTTTTATTATTGAATATAATATTGTGAACACTATTAACATTGGACTACACATTAAATTCAAACAATTAGTGATCATTTGTTTCTATAATAATATATTCATTGAAATATATTAGAAATTAATTTACTCTAAATTAACAAATAATTAAATAATTAGTCACTAAAATAATTACATAATAAATAAAACAGATTAGTGGACAGTAGTATGAGAGGGACTCCTAATAAAACTTAAACTGTTGAGAACGGCCGTAGATTTCAACACTCATAGAGGGGTACACAACGCGCCTATAGGTCCACTCGTATACGATGTCTGGCCTGATATCCCGGGTCAAGTCAAACGTCAATCGCCACCTATCGGTGCCAATCCGTTGAGCCCAATGTGCGACCCGTTTGTGACATGTGGTGGGCTGGGAGTCGATGCCATACCCGCCGTTCCCGCACTCATACATCACCACATCGTCGGTCTCGTCGACGGTAAGGGTCGGGTCGGCGGCAAACTCCACGATAATAGGAGTTCCCAATCGGTAGGTGTGCTTCACATTCACAAACTCTACTAAATATAAGCTCACTTTGGAAGTCATAATTTGGTTAAAGTTTTTGCAACAAAATTATGGATTCATTTATTGATTAACTTTTTAATGTAATGTTTAAATATAATTGAAATGTTTCAATCGATATATTATGTTAAATTGTTTAGCATACTAAATATAAGTAAACAAAAAATAATTAACGTTTATAGAAATTATTCACAACATACTTTGTAACTAAAAAACAAATTCACAAAAACAAATTTCTAATTTAAATATGTTATTCATAACCAGTTTGTACAAGTATGTATAATTATTTATTTTAGTAATTTAACAAATCAATATATTATAAGATATTTTTGCTTATATGGTATTATATTTTAATTTTTTCAACATAAGTAATAGTTTATTTTAACTAGATGTTACATTAACAAACAGAATTAACAGGGTAATTATTGATGGGGCATATAGAACACACATTAAATAATTTAATGGACAGTTGTGTCACTAATAAAACATGAAAGGGTGGGAACGACCCAATAATTCATACGTGGACTGGGGGTCTAACCGTCGCCTATAGGCCCACCAGTAGTTACAATTGGTGCTGATATCTGGCGGCCAGTCGTGTCCGGCAAACTCCAGGCGCCACGTATTCCAGCGGACACGTCGACCCCTCTGGAAGACCCCTTTGCGGACAGTCGTGTTGGACTTCTACACGACTTGACATTCTGTGGCCATTCCTCTGATCGTTGGTTCGTTCGACGAGTTCTTCGTCTGTCACATGATTGGTGTGAATGTCTTGAAATATATGACGAATTGTTTCGTTTGAAACTCTGCGGTCGACACACAGTGTCCGGTATATGTGTGACACAAATGTCATACTTTAATACACAATAGTTGACAAAACTATTAAGTTGTACACAAAACATGTTATTCACACGATTTGGACATTCATTGACTACTCATTCAAATATATAAGAGTCGAGCGATTGTTTTGATTCAACAGATGTTGAGTTTGTGTTGTGTTTTGGCGTTTGAATTGAGCTCTCATTTCGCGGACTCCACTCAACACTCGTCTCAATGTAAGTATTGCTTTGATTTTATATTGTAGTCATAGTTGAGATACCGGTGCCGGACAGTTAGGTTCATAATTTACATTATCTTAGCCTCAAATCTACACTAATGTTAGACTTTTATTGTAATTTTAAGGTATTTTCTTAGACCTGATTTGAATGTCTATTTTATATGACTGAATGGAAAACTCCTATCAATTTATATCTAATGTTTGAATTGTATTATAAGTGGTGTATTGACCACAATATATGCGACAGTAGTTCGGGTTTAATAACATTCAGTGATTGAGTGAATGTGTGTACAAATGGGTGATAAGTATGGCTGACGACTGACTACTAGAGGAAAGGGATGTGTGTGTGTGTGAGAGAGAGAGAGAGAGAGAGAGAGAGAGAGATGTGAACTCATTGAGAGTTACAAATAGACTGATTGTAGGGCACAGGTATGCCATGCCTTATACGAGGTTTAGTAGTGATTACAATAAAATTATTAGCATTAATAACAATTACACTGATTATAGTGATTAGGTTTAGTGAGCACTGAATTAAGTGACTGTGAGTTACATGTGATCTGATTGGGAGTCAGGAGTGAAATGAGAGAATATGAATGTGTTTTGGGATTTTATGAGTTCCTGAGAAGTGCTCATATCGTGAGAGAGAGAGAGAGCCATCTCTCGCACATAATTCATACAATTTTATAAACATGTATATTGTGTGTCATTTTGAGTGCATATAAGAGACAGTATTTAGTGTATTCACTTGAGTCCTGAATTCGCTAATAAACGCTACGTTTGTATGAAACCCTCTCTCTGTGGGCTGTTGTGTAGAGTTTCCGGTGGAACCAGATCTCCGGGTAGGCCAACCGGAACTCCAGAGCTACTTGTTCTCGGGTATCACACCGTGAGCTACCAGTGCTCCGGTGCTTGAAGTCAGATTTGAATCCCAGATTGAGTGTCGAGTGAAGTCTCGGATGTGGTGACCGGTTGGACACAGAGCTCACCCGAGTCTGGACACCGGTTTGATCGCAAAAGTCATATTAAAGCAGTTTAATAACGTTTTGTATTCTCTCGTTTCACTTATAAAAACTTACTAATTCTTATAAATATAAACTGATAAGAGGTCATTCAAAAAGTACGTTTGCAAAAGTCTATAAAACTAATTTTACAATAATCTTTTCGTGACCCCTTCCCCCATACTCTGTGTACGTATTTAATGAATAATTTTTTAATTATTTTTTAAAACTTTTTTTGTATCCCATATATAATCCCATTTGAACGTTAATCCCTATATTTGAATCCCATTCCCAGACATCGATTGATTGGTTAGAATTTGATCCCAAAAATGAGGACCAAATCAAGAGATTATACAGACTTTGCATTCACTGAACGCAACGAGTGTTGCATTGATTTGCAGCCAAAGGTTGTCCTCAAACGGCTGTCCACTGAAGAGATCGAGAAATACGACAAACGGTTTTATGACAAGTATTGCCACAAACCTGTTGTTGTCGTCGAAGAGGCCATCGAGAGAGACATCCATTGCATTGAATCGCAAGAATTTATGCGATATTTAAATGTCATTCAAACCACAGAATTGGTCGCAAAACCCATTAATTCACTCAAAAAGTCGTTTCCCTTAAGAGGAATCTCCAGAATCAGTGCACAAGTAGTCGATCGGGAAGTGATTGAACGCCAGAATTGTCTGTCGATTAAAACGAGTGGTAAAACTCAGCCAAAGAAGTCGAAGAATAGGCAAAGACTTGGACTCCGATTGACACCAAAGATTAGTCCACGAAATGAACAGATCTTAAGGGAAAGGAATCGAAAGAATCGGATCTTCAGATTCATATCACGACTGGAGATGACCTCAAAATTGTCTCAATCCTTGTCCACAACACTTGGGTTCAGACCATTATCTCAGCGAATGGTTCACGAGTTGTCCACTCAATCGGTTCCAGAGATCTCTTATCCGAAGAATAAGAAGCTTTTAAATCCATTGCAAAGACATGTCAATGGATTCAATCGATGGCTTCCGAGGAATATCGAAATGAAGGCAAAAGTGTGGGAATTGAGTGAAAAGCTAAGTGAAGACCACTTCGACTACGGATTCACTCGAAGACAATCTCTGGAGAAGAGGTTACGGCGTAAGACTGGTCTGAATTGGAGGTCAAGACTGCTATCACTTCATTGCAAACCATTCACTGTTGCCATCACTCGACTCGAAGAACCATCAGAAGTGTCTAAACCAGTGAACCATCGATTGGATCCAATGGTGAGACAATCGGATTCACAGATCTGTAACAAGACATCGACAGGTGATTGGGATCTGGAGTTCGAGTTAACAAAGTTTGTGAACAAATCGATGCAAACAAATTTCGGTGCAGTGGTTGAGGACAATGACCACAAGAAGTGGAGGAATGGATTGCATTTGAAGAGTCTGTCGATTGTCTTAGAAAAAGATGAAAGAATCGATTCGATGGCCAAACAGATGGCTATTGACATCAAAAGTCGTGAATTAAAGACAAAATTCTGTTGATTCATGTGATTCGTGTCAATAGTTTTGTCATTCATTTCTTATGAATAGTTTTAAACGATTTTTAATTTATTTATCAAACATTTATTCATTTTGTAATTAATGCTTAAATGTAATCGTATTTTGTATTATAAATAGTAATGTTTTACACAATACTGTATAAAATCTCATGTTTTATATAAAAAACAATTCAAGGATTTTAATGCTTATTATAAAAATGTATATTAATTTCAATAAATGTTTGAATAAATGAAATTTTTGATAAAAACATTTATCTAAATATAAACCGATTAACAGATTGAAGAGCAGCAACGGCTCCGACAGATTGGCAAACGTAAGTAATCGCACATTAAATTATAGTATATTTGATAATTACATTAATTAATTGGTTAACAATTGAATTATTATTCATTATGATTAGAGGAACTGGAGGTTTGTATAAAGCAATGGTTTTATATTAAAATTACCGGTAAATTAAATAACAAATGCTAACCAATATTATAACTTTTCAAACGATTAATAAAACACAAAATGATTAAACAAATCAATAAAATGAACACAATTTATGAAAACCGATAAAACATATCGTAATTGCAATCAAAACATAAAATAGAGATTAAAACAATGGCTATTATTTATAGCCTATAAATATGAGATAATACAAACTGGAGGAATGTATCCACAAATGTCTTGAGTGGGAAATCGTTGACTAAACAGACAGATCAGATCAGTTCGAGTGCAACGACTCCATGTGCTGCTCAGACATCTGCGGAGTACTGGTCGGACTCATTGGAAAAGTTATGTCGGGGAACAGGAACGGGATATCTATGATAGAGTTGGCGCACCAATTGTGGGCTATTGGCGGACACCTGTTCGCAGGGATAGGACTTCAGGAGCTTGAGTTGGTCACCAGTCTTAGGCCGACAGTACCGCTGATGACATGTCAGTACACTCTTGAGGCTACACTTATAAACGCATCCTTTCATAGGACACGGGAACAGGTGTTGAGCAGTGGGCACAGGTCTTAAGCTAATGGTGCTGGCGATATCACTATCAGTTTGGCTACCATTAGTAGCTATCGGTGCTGATGATGGCGTCGATGGGGTTGACGTACTGGCGCTCAAACTGTTTGTATAGATATTAAAATAGCAGTTCGTATAAGACTTGAAGGTTTAGTTCACCGAAACATACCTATCATTGGAAGCGCTGTGCGTGCGGTCATTACTCGTTTGATTATTGGTCGACACTGGAGCCAATGCTACCGGTGTTGGTGGTGGTGCAGGGGTGGACCTACCGGTGCCCGAACTGATAGGACATTAAAATACATAATGAGTTAGCGTTTGGTTGACAACGACTGACCCATTGGTGACCACCGATGAAGTGATTGTAGACAAATGGATAGGTCTAGCATCGGATTCACTGTCTTCGTCGTCATCAATGGTTATCACTTCCATTGGTTCCGACTTTGACTTCGAAGCACTAGATGTCTGTCCGGTGCTACTCATCAATGGCTGTCCACTCGCCCTATCATTGGTTGTGGACATCGATTGGCGGCTAAAACATTGCATCAAATGTCAGACAATTATTACAACAGTTTGTTTGGTATCACCAAAAGTTTACCTATCATTGGAAGCACTATATGTGTGGTTATCAGCATTGGTGGTGGAAGTGTTGGCCCCAGAGTTGGTCCCATTGGTGATGACCTTTCGTGGTCTCAACTCCACCTCATACTCGCCGTCAACCAGTATTTGACTGATTTTTATGGTGTCCAGGAGTCGGCCGCCCCTCCAATACACGTCCACTTTGGTCTCGTCCATCACCACATCCCTGTCCACTAGGGATGCGCGGATGTGTCGCTTGAGGTCAACCACTGTCTGATAAGTGGCCACCGGTTGCCAAAACTTATCCACTTCTGGGTATAACCACTGGACGGACACTAATATCATCGCATCGGTGGCCGCATCTCTCGTATACGGCTTCACAACCCTTTCCCGTTTCATATTAGGCTTGACATCCATTTCCTTCTTTATATCCATTGGCACGAGTGGTGAAGACTATCACTGGTTTTGATGGACTGTCAGGCAATGGGATGTGTTTTGGTGTCAAATGTGTTACAGTTTATCAAAAGTGAACTCAATTTTATAGCAAAAACTTATTCATTGATGTAATGCTTGACAAATAGGTCTCAAAAATAACGACTAATTGTTTACAATTTCAATTGAAACCCAAAAACACAACTTTATTGGAGTGACTGTTGGGATCAAACGAAGTGATGTATGATATGATTGACACACGTGTCCACACATCCACTGATAGGCAATGAAATGCTTTTCAGACAAAAGTTTTGTTATTATTTGTCACAAAAATCTTATTCATTGATGCAATCGTTGAACGAATCGTACGTTTGCTAATAAATAACGACTATTTGTATGAAGTTTTAATACAATTGAATGCATTTTGGTTTTCATTGTAATTAACTTTAACGCATATTTAAACTCATCAATTATTTATTTATACAAAACACCATTCGCACAAAAACACAACACATTTATTACAATATTTGTAAATTATTTACAATTTTCATTACTCTTAATACTGTATTAGACGAGTGACAGTCGTATGAATGTAAGGGTAGTCCGTTAAACCAGACTAAACGGATGGGAACGGGCGTAGACCTGGTTCTCCCCGTACGGTCCCAATACCCTCCTATAGACCCACTCGTACTTCACGTCCGGACTCATCCTTCGGGGCCAGTAGTGTCCGCTGAACTCCAGGCGCCACCGATCTGTGTCCACCCGTAGGCCCGCGTGGAGGACACCCTTCAGGAGGTCTGTGGGCCTACTCTTCGCGCCGTTACTGTAGAGCTCATACATCACGATCTGGTCGGTGGGGCTCACGATGAGGGTCGGGTCCACCAGAAACTCCAATATTATAGGCTTTCCCATCGGGTATTGCGGGTCAGAGGTCACGAACTCTACTAAATTTACACTCATTTTCGGTGTTTTGCGTTACAAATCATATGCTGTTTATAATTATGAGATGTTTTGTTTGGAAATGTTATGTAAAGTGTGTTTAAATGACACACATTTTTGGCTATTTTTAAACTTTTTTATGCAATGCTTTACGTAATCGCGAGTTTGCATAATAAATAACGACTTATTGTATGAAAGTATTGTAAAGTTTTTAACTTTAATACGATTTAAAAATATGTATTTTAATTATAATTAACTTTAAATTTTATTTTCACTAATGATAGCTAAGGTTGTAGTCATTGGTTATCAAATTAATTTTTATTCATTTCATTAGCATAGACACAACTTTATAGCAATTAAAAAAACTTATTTACAATTTTATATCATTTTAATACTGTATTAAATTAGCACTTATTTACCCGTAAGTAATCACACAATAAATTATAGTATGTTTTGTAATATGAGGTAAACATGTTTATAAATTATAATAATCATTAATAGAGGCACTGGTAGTGGAGGTATACCGGTAACTGTAAGTCATAGTAAAAACAATCATTTGATTAAATTACTTTAAATTAAATTGAGTATTAACTTATAAAATGCTAAAAAATTATAAAACATTTCACAAATTATCAAAAAACAAAATGAATTCAAATACACACAAAAACATAAGAATTTGTAACAAAAAAAATTGAATCCAAATAATTGGTGTAAAAAACAAATTACAGGTAAAAATAAATTCATAAAACCTATAAAACTCTAATAATTATAACCAAAACCTAAAATCGATAGTCAAATGAAAAACAATGACATTAAGTATAAGATAATCATAAACCGGAGGAATGTGTCCACAAATGGGTGACCAAACACACGGATCAGGTCAGGGGTGATGAATCTTTTTATGGTAAGTCATCTTAGGATTACTCTTAGTCTTGAAGGCGCAGCGACTGATCCCGCAGGTCATGAATGGTAGGTCTGGCAGTAGTTCCGGATGCATACGCTTCTGGTGTGCCATCATTTGGGACCTGTTTTTGAACACTTGGCGACATGTGTTGAACTCCGGGCACTTGAGTTCGGCGCCGGTATGCTTGTGTCCATAGCGCCGGTGACGGGTCAGTGCGCTCTTGTGGGGTGTCTTGAATGGACAGCCCTTTACATTGCACTTGAATTGCTGTCCAGATGTTGGACTACCGGTGCTGGCGCTCACCCTTGATCTAATTATTTGAAAACTTGTTAAATCTATTAAAATTATGATTTTAAAATATTCGTAATATTTTGCTATTTTGTGTACATTTTATCCCATTATTTGAGGTAATATTGAATTTGTATAATAAATAACTACTAATAGTATAAAGTGTTGTAAAGTTTATTTTAATAATCAATTATTAGTTTGAAAAAATTTTAATTGTAATTAACTGTAAGCTATATTTACAAAAATGATCATTTATAATTTGTATAACATTTGAATACGTATTAGATTTGCCTGAAAGTAATAACAGATTAAATTATATTTTGGTTTTTGCAATATTTGGTTAAATGAATACAATTAATAAAGCATGCGTTGGAAGCATTGAAATGTTTATCTCAAATACAAGAAATGAATTTATTTTACAAATAATTAAACATTAACTTATCAAATGTTCATAATTAATTATTACTAATTATCATCACATAATCATAAAAATAACATTTCAAATGGGATTAAAAATTATTAAAAACAAGAAAACATAAAAACGATTCAATGAAACAATAAAATGTCATTCACTATACGGTAATAGGAGTTCAAAGTGAATAAAACACGGAATGAATTATAGCTATAAATTATATAACATATAATAGACATAAATAGTAAAAATGATTAAAATTAAAAAGCATTAAAATTAAGATTAAAAAGTTGTAAATCCCTATACAATACCGTAATTACAATCTATAACTACCGGTATAATAGAGATTCAAATTATGATTAATTAAAAAACAATTGCCATTAAGAATGAGATAATCAATGAGAACTGGAAGAATGAGTGGACAGCTATCTTAAGACAAAACTATGGGATCAGATCACTGCGAGTGCGCAGACTTCGTGTGTTCGGTCATCTGTGGCGCACTTTTGGTCTTAAAGTGGCAGTCTGTGGCCGAACAGGTCATGAATGGCAGGTCTGGGAACAGCTCGGGATGCATACGCTTCTGGTGGGCAATCATTTTAGGCCGAGTGGTGAACACTTGTCGACAGGTGTCGAACTGCGAGCACTTCAGTTGACCGCCAGTCGTGTGTCCGTACCGGCGATGACGGGTCAGCACACCTTTGTTTGTGGTCTTGTAATCGCATCCTTTGATAGTACACTGATAGAGCTCTACGGCCACAGAGCTACCGGCGCTGTCCGCCATCTCACTGTCGATTTGATCAGTGGTGGCCTCCGTGGCTACCGGTGCTGCTGATGATGATGTGGAAGTGGTGGCCATATCAGTGTCCGAACTGTTTGGATATTAACATAAATATAGTATAAGACTTGAGGGTTTGGTACGCAATCACTGACCTATCAGTAGCCGCTGGTGTTACCGGTGCTGCCGCTGATGTCGATGCGATCTCTGCCGGTGCTGATGATTGTGTGGACACACCGGCGCCCGAACTGTTGGGACAGAAATACAGATTAAGTATAAAAAGTGAGTGTTTTGTACACAATGTCTGACCTATTGGTGCTATCGGTGGACAGGGATGCGGACGGTTTGCGGCTATATCTGGCAGTCACTCCGATGTCCTGATTGTCATCAATGGTTATGACATCCATTGGTTCCAACTTTATGGGCGAAGCAAGTCTTCGACTACTTCTCGCTCTACGAGTTGGGGTTAAAACATGGCATCAAATGTCAGATAATTATCCAAAAGTCTTTGTGTTATCACCAAAAGCCTACCTATTAGTGGAAGTACTGGCAATAGCGGTGGAAGTGTTGGCTCCAGAGTTGATCCCATTGGTGATGCCTTTTCGTGGTCTCAGCTCCACTTCAGACTCGTTGGCAAACATTTGCCCGACTCTTGTGCTGTCCAACACTCGCCTCCCTTTCCAAAACAGGTCCACATTGTGTGCATCGATGTCCACCTCCCTGTCCACCAGCGATATGCGG